AGAGTTACAGGGCAAAGAAAGGGAAAAAAAGAAGTTGTGTGGCAAATGATTCAACATTTTGAGTCAAGGCTTTTTCCATGTGCATGTTCTGTAATAGCTTTACTACTTCCCACACCCTTCTATTTCAGTGATTATATCAAGGCCATGATAATGGCATCAAAAAAAGCCACCCAAAAACCCCACCACACACAGGGAAGTATTTAAATAGGGATTGGTTTCTGTCCATAGATAGGGCACAGCGAGCGTCAGCCACCACAATTAGTAGGGAATCAATGCCAGCTCCCTGTCCAGCTTCAGAGACTTGGACACAGAAGGACGTTAATGGAGAACAGAAATAAAAGCCAGAAATAAACTACAAAACTTTTTAAGTGATCCAATAAAAAAGGAGCACAAACACTCAAGAGGTGGAAGTAAACGTCCCTTGCTCACACCACACTGACTCAAGCATTTTTACTACAGAACCACAGAATGCCTGGCTTAATCCAGTGAAAATCCCATATTCCAAGCACTGATTGTGACCCAAGCACCAGGACTTGTGCTGGTTTTCAGCCAGGTTGTTTGGTCAGGATATCCTCCTCCAGAGCACAGAGCTACCTTGTGGCTTTGTGTGTGATGCTCACACTCAGTCAGTCAGGTGCAAAGACTCACTGTCGCACTTGAAATGAAGGGTTGAGAAACACCACACTCAGATTTAATTTGAGGGATTCAAGGAAGGGGAGAGAGAGGAGGAGAGAGAGAAGAGCCCCACCATTCCAGCCCACCCCATCCACCCCACCCAGATGCAGCACTCAGCTGTCCATGGATACTCAACAGAGAATGCTTTGCTCTGATCACACCACTTGACTGTTTATTTTTCACGACTTGTGGCACAGAAATAACAACACAAGTGGCTCGAATGTCATAGACTCGTAGAACAAGACATCACTGCAGTAATGGAATAGTAGCAGAAGCTGCTTACAGTTCCCTTTTGACCTCACTGCAATACATTTTTCTTCCCAGAAATGTTAGGAAGGAGTAACTGCTGTGTTTGGGGACAGCCCCAGGCCCTCCGCTGGCTCCTGGGGCGGTATTCCAGCCTCGCAGAGCTCAGTGCTTCCTCTGCCACAAGAATTCAGTTTGCTTTTCCTACTCCCTTCTCACATTAGTGCAACAATTTCCTGGAGGTTTTCCAAGAGACAGAATGCAGGATACTATTGACTCAAACTGATTTCATTAGGATTTTCATCCTAAGGTATCTTTGGCAGCTTTACAAACCACCAGCCCATGCAGCCTATTCCACAGGCGGGATATGGCACTGCTTTCACTCAGCTCCTCGTTCACTACACCACCAGAGCAGGGCACGTGTCAAAACACAGACCTGCCTTGCCTGGGAAGCACAGGAACATCCCCAACACGAGGCCTGAAAATCACCAGGACAGCAAGACACTTGCCACCTGCATCGTGTCACAGGACAGCCTGGAAATGGAGGGGAAAGGAAGCTGAAACAACCTGGTCCCAAAGCTGGACTAGGCAGGGCAGAAGGAGAGAGAGGCACAGAAAGGGAACGGCTCCCTGGGTGCAATTTGCACTTGCAGAGGTAACAAAGGCGGGGGCACTGACCTCCCAACACAGCAACTGCATCACCCATCAGACAGTGAAAACAACTGACTGTGTTCTTGCCACAGGGATGTCAGACTGCTTTCCCTGGAGATCCAGCATTCCCCAGGAAGCCAGGGAGCTGTTCAGTGACAAGTGTCATCCTGCTGCATCCAAGGGCAGAGGCCATCAACATCTCTATTTGAGCTGCACGCCATGCAGTCCCTGCCTTGTCCAAAGGGCAGGCACAGCAGATGCTGCCCTGAAGCCAATAAAGTTGTCTATCAGCTCCAGCTTCACGGAATGAGAACATTTAGGGTGAGCAGAAGAGCAGTGAGAGAACAAGAATCACGTCAATCCATATTACAACAACTCAAAAACGAAGTCCCAAACAATCCAAACGAATTATTCCTGGTACACCAGAGACAGAAGTGTGGAACTTATGTGGGGGAGCAGGCACAGGATGGGACAGCCTCCTCCCCAGGATTCTAAAATCCTGCTCCATATCCCCACAAAAATGGGCAACATCTCCCTGCCTGGCAATGCTGCTTCACTGTACACCACTACACTCCCTGTGACAGGTGGCATTCCCTGAACATTCCACAGTCTAACAGCTGTATCAGGTCAGGCCAAAGGTCCCCCCAGTGTGATACCTTGCCTCTCACAGAGCCAACAGCAGCTACAAAGGGAAAAGGCAAAAAAAAGGGCAAACATGTACTAACTAGCTATTTTCTAGCTTTTCCCCAAGAATGCTTAAACTTTATTTGGATTTCTGAACCATTACTGAGCTCGTGCTTTCATACATCTATTTATTCTAATGCCCTACAGGAAGGCAGCAATAATCATTTACATGTGAGGCACAAACTATTTTTTCCCCCCCATGTGCATCACTTTCTATTAATCCACATTGAATTCATCATCAAGTCACTAATTTCACAAGATTCTTCTACAGTTCTTTACCACTCTGAAAAGTTTGGATTTGCCAACAAGCTGCCATTGACTAATCACTGTATTTTCACAATTATTCCTTAGTGTTGAACAACAACATATCCTTAAGCACAGATCTCCATCTCCTCCATAATGAAAATTAACAACATATGCTCACCCTCCATCCCAGCTCCCCATCCATATGAGAACCATTCCCTCTCCACAACCACCGTGCCATTTCTTTGGCACACTTTGGTAAGGGACACTGTCAAAACACATTTTGGAAATCCAAGCACTACACTGATGTCCTTTTCCAATAGATCTGTTGACTCAGAGAACTCCAACAGGTTTGGGAGGCATAACTTACCTTTCCAAAAGCCATGGTGACTCTTTGTCAACACATTCTATGACTCCTCTTTTCCACTAAGTCTGTCTGTTAGAATTCCTATTAATTTGTCCAGTAGAGACATGAGTCCCACTGGCTTGGAGTTCCCTGGATTTCTCCATTTGAGTCACAGCCACCACTTTTCAGTTGGATGTAAGTTTTAAAAATGAGAGGGTACAGACCAGTCAGTAGCTGAGCAATTACACTCAGGTCAAGTTCCTTTAGACCTGTGAGAAACCTCTGCTCATCTGTTTGATTTACCAGTTTATTCCACCACTTCTTCTGGTGGCACTTCCACATGAAGCAGTTCCATTGATATATCCTTAAATGAGAGTTCCCACATGGATCTCACTCCAACCGACCTGTGGTTGAGTGTCAGTTCAAACTGGGATTCCACAACACGCTTGCAGTATCTCCAAGTTACCCAGACATGATGCTACACGTCAGAGATGTCAGTGTAGCAGACCCTGCACCAGCCTGGGTACACTAAAATTGCTACTCCGAGGTTTTAAAACCCAGCACTGAGAAAGAACCAGAGAAACAGCTTTAGAGAAACCAGTCACTCCACTCCACTCACCCAGTGCCACGGTAATTGCTGCTGACTGCTCAGAGCTGCTATTCATAGCTTTTGATCACAATACAGCCCTGCAAGCTGATAGCTGCAGTTGTGGCGCTGTACCAGACATATTTACAGCTGCTCAGGAACACACACAGCACCCAGCCCTCTGGACCAGCCCTGGGTGCTGCTGGAACAGTGCTTGTGCAGCAGATCCCGCTGCGGGCAGGGCACGGCACGGGCAGGGATCCTGACCAGACCCCAGGAGCCTCAGGAGCCCTCTCCCTCAGGTGGGGCACTGGACTTTCATCTCTAGAGGCCTGAAGGCACAGCACAAACTCCTGACACCTGAAGGTTGGTGTCACATCCAGGCAGAGTGTGGCAGCACTGTGGCCCAAGGTGGAGCCCACTGGAACACGAGCACCTCCCCACCCTGCACCTCCTCACCCTTGGAGCCCTGGGGGTCAGGAAGGCCAATGGGTTGTTCCTGGGGGGCACTGGGAAGAGCCTGCCCAGCAGATCAGCCCGGGGGAGGCACATCTGCAGTGCTGTGTCCTGAGGACAGGAGGGACATGGAGCTCCTGGAGCAGGTCCAGAGGAGGCTGTGGAGGTGCTGAAGGGACCAGAGCATCTCCCTTATGAGGAAAGGCCGAGGCAGCTGGGGCTGTTCAGCCTCGAGAAGAGACACCGAGAGGGAACCACCCCAATTTCTGTCAGTGCCTGCAGGGAGGGGGCAGAGGATGGACCAGGCTCTGCTCGGGGGTGCCCAGAACTGGGACAAGAGGAAGGGGCAGGAACTGATACCCAGGAAGTTCCACCTGGACACGAGGAAGAACTTTGCTGGGCAGTGACAAGCACTGAACAGGCTGCCCAGAGCAGGTGTGAAGTCTCCTCACTGGGGATATTCCAGACCCCTCTGGACACACTCTGTGCCACGTGCCCTGCTGGAGGAGGGAGGTGGGACCAGTGACCCACTGTGGTCCCTTCCAGGCCGATCCAGTCGGGCCCTTTTAAGGCCTAAAATTGTGCTTAACAAAAGCACCTGTCCAGGTGATCACTCAGGGAGCAGCAAAGATGAGGAGCTCTGCTTTAGGGTCACACCTGCTCACACAAATTAGATGCTATCACAGATGGAAGTAATTAGTGTTCCTCGAGATGGGGAGTCCACAACATCCTGTTTCAGAATAAGGTTATAAGCGAAGACAGCACAACCATGACACCACCTGAATTTATTACCCTTTTAATACTAAAATATGACAAACAGC